TGTACTTAAATTAACATTTGGCCTTCTGAATGTCATCCTGAGATGTAGTTATTTATTACCCAAACGTTCAATGCTGAACCTTCCCTACTAGATAGATGATTTTACAAGGTTAGCAAGTGGGGAAAATCTCTGAATACTTTATTCAGACTGAATATGACCATCTGGCTGTTGGTGGTGACTTAAAAGGAGTGGAGATATAAATGAAAGAAACAAGGTACAAAGTAGGTGGCAAAATAAGGGCAAAGGCAGGCGAATGTGACCTGGGCAAGACTGGGTGAGTCCAGCCAGAAGGCCACTTTCAAACACATGTCCAAATACATTCCGAAAACTGAAAAATTCTGAAGCCAAAACATTTCTGGTTCCAAGCATTTCAGATAAGGGATTCTCAGACTGCATCAACTTATTCTATCATATGTAAAGCAAACGTGGTATTAGAAATGGGGACGATAAATGGGACCCAAGAGACCTGATTCCTATCTTGTTTTACTTTGAGAAAACCACTCGATTTTTTTGGACATTAAATTCACTGCCTATAAAATAAGGATATTGGATTAGGGTGATTAGAAGGGTGGTTGCGGTTCACAGGACTGCAATGACAAATCCACTAATGAGGTAGAATGGTTTAACTTATGCAAAAATATATTTTTAGGTTTTTATACACCAGAAATTTGTTAGGGAATTTTTGAGGATTGGATGTTTCTTTCCTTTCTTTCTTTTTTTTTTTTTTTATTGTCAGAGGGTATGTATGCTTGGCAGTGAGAGACAGAGACAGAGTCAAAGCAAGGAGAAAGTGGTCCATGGCAATTTCTTCACCTCCATTTCTCCATCTTGTTGGGATTTGGAGCACATATGACCAAGGACCTGGGGTGTTTATCAAGCTGCCAGGTCAGGAGTCCAACTCTGGTCAACCATGTGGGATCTGGCGCCATTAACCACCAGTCTATGGGACTGACCCTGGATCTATTTTTAAAACGTACACATTGGCAAGTATCTACATAGCATGTAGTCACTATTAGAGCTACTTTTTCTTTCTTTAGAGACATTTTTGCTATAGGGAGCATGCACTCGTTGCAGAGACAAAGAGAAACAGACAGCAAGAAATCATCCCCCAGGAGAGACAGCAACATTGCAATCCCTTTTCCTTCATTCTCCTCTCGAGATCTTGGACACACATGCACACGCACCCAATATGATTTTAAGCCACCTGCCACAGTTGACTAAGTGGGAATCCAGTGAAGTAACCATTACACCATCTGCTGGTCCCTATTAGATCTACTTTTAACATTAAAGATACACTAGTTGAAGAATCTAAAAAACCTACATTAGGGAAACAATCCCATCATTTTTAAAAGGGTTAATAAAAAAATTCCCCTAAATACACAATCCTAGTAATGTATAAGGTGTGCTATAGGTAAATCTGAAGTATTTTAACATAAACACTAATGTTACTACCAAAGAAAAGTAAGGAACATCTACAAATATCTTTATTTGGTGAAAAGACACCAACTCAGATGTGAAAATCTTAGCTCATCTTGGTGTATTGTGGGAATAAAGTCAAAGAACTCAATTATTATTATTTTGCATTGGTCTATAATGTTTTCAGGTGGCATGCACACACAGGAGTGTATGTGTGTGCATGCCCAAAAAGCCCAGGAGAAAAATGGGTGAGAGGGGACTGCAGTGTGGCCATCCTCCCGGGAGGTGATTTCTCATTTTCCCTCTCAGTGTCTCTCTCTGATGAGTGCATGTGCCCTATGGCAAAAATCAAACGAGCAAAAAACCAATTCTGAGTGTGGTAATATTGCAAACCTGAATTTCTCTTTTTCCATTTAGTCGAAATATTCCATAAAAAGCACAGAGGACAGAACAACATTCCCAAAAGTATGTTGTACAGTATAGCAAGCCCCGAAATAGCCTAAATTAAAGTGTGCCTGGGTCAAATCTGAGGAAACTGCCTTATATTCTACCTAGACAATGTATAACATACACTAATAGCACATTAATGGCTCTAGAAGACCTACAGTGAAGAAACTGGTTTAGCTACTTAAACCCAGCATTCCTTACCTTATTGATACCTGGACTTTTTCTTAATAAATACTTAAGATCTAATGGAATTAGTGTTCTTGGAAAATATAAAACATTTCAGTCTCTTTACTCCATTTCTATGCTGGTATCTATCCTAATCTATCTACTTCGCATAACTAGCTTGGCAAGAGAAACACCTATGAGTTGATAAAATTTAAATTCCAAGACACAGATTTCAATATTAAAATTTGGAGGTTATAGCTAATAAAATGCTGAAAGTTTTCTTTTTTTAATTAGTAATAGGTACTGAAAGTCTTATTTTTAGTGATACATATTTACATATTGAACAATAGTCTTTAGAGCAGACTAAATTTTTTCCAACTTCCAGGTTACAATTATTTTAGTTGATCAAAAAGCTAAAAACTTTTCACATAAAAAAAAAAGGGCAAATATATTAAACAAAAAGGTATACTTTTTTTTTTTTTGAGAGGTTTTTGCTATAGGGCGCATGCGCTCACCAGAAAGACAGAGAGAGACAGAGAGACAGAAAGCGAGAAATCACCTCCCCAGTGGCATGGCCACGCTGCAATCCCTTCTCCTCCATTCTCCTTTCGGGATCTTGGGCATGTACGCACATGCGCCCAGCGTGAGTTTAAGCCACTGGGTCCAGGACCTGAACCATGGTCAACTATATGGGAGTCCAGCGACATAGCCATTACGGCAACTGCTGGTCCCTGATCTTGTTCTTAATAGTAACTAGGGAGGAATATTAACGGGTACAACCAGCAAAGTTTTAATACCCTAATGTAATCTATCATTTTTATGTGTAGTAGGGACACATGATGGAACCGCTCAGGTAAGACCTCATAGACCTGTGAAAAGCAATCACAGGTTGTGGACTTTTTGTTTTAAAAAAACAAAACAAAAAACTATTGGTGCTCAGTTACTTTCTAACTTTCTTTGAAATATCTAACCTAGATGATACATAAGGTTCCAGTTAAAAGATTCGACTTTTCACTGACCTTGGCCTTACCAGTACAGAATATGAGTATGAATATAGTTTAGGCTGAGATTCTTCACAAGATTTATAACTTGAATACTTCAAATGTATAAAAATTTAAGATTTTTTTTAAAGGTTTTCACCATAGAACATGTACGTCAGAGAGAGACAGAGAGGGAAAGCGAGACATCACCCCCCTGGGGGGATAGCCAAGCTATAATCTCATCTCCTTCATTCTCTCAGGATTTTGGGCATGCATGCACACGTGTCTGGCATGATTTTCAAGCTGCCAGGTCCAGGACTTGAAGGCTGGCCATGTAGGAACCCAGCGCCTTAACTAGTACCACACCAGCTGGCCCCAATAGGGCACTTTTTAAACAAGCTGGTTAAGATAATGTCACCTGCCAGTCCAATAGACCAATAGCTTAGTTTTGCTAGAAGAGAAAAATTCTGAAATACTACTCAAAAAGAAGCACATTATATCTAAAATCATAGAAAACTGTTTCCATAAACCTTTGGGCACCAGGGTGATTAAGAGCATGGAGCTGGGTTGCAAAGGTAGGCCCCTGCCTCATACTACTCCAGGGGTGCTCTTCACAAGGCGCTCTATGTAAGTGGTGCCCTCGGAATGGTACTCTGATAAGGCTGACTTAGGGAGACAGAGTCCCTCTCTCTACCACTTATTACTGTGCGATTAACTTAGGAAGTTATTTAACCTCTCTACGCTTCACATTTTTCATTTATAAAATGAAGATAATTAAGGACATATACTATAAACCTGTGAGCAAACTACGTCTTATAGTTGCAGAATAATTATGACGAGAACTTTTTTCCTCATACATTTAACTATCATCTAAATGTTATCACTGAGTCAGTAGTCCAAGTATTTATTGTGTGCCACTTTATGCCAGACAATAGGCATTAGGGACACAGAAATGGATCAAGGATTTAAAATCTCAGGTTTTGTATAGTATGTTCTGAAGTTCTACAGACAATATGTAATAAAAAATACAAAATATGTCAAGTGAAAACAATGATATGAAGATAAATAAAAGCATTTAAAGACACAGAGAACATCAGCTTCTATGTACGTGTGAAGGGATCCCTATCTTAGACAGGTGGGTCAGGAAAAGCTGCTGAGTTAAGCTAATATGTGAGCAGAGACCTACATGCAGTGAGGGAGAGAGCCTTGTGATGACCTGGGCATGTGATCCAGGGCTGGGCACCTGCAGGGTAGCAGGAGGGCATCCTTGGCACGTTCCAGGACAGCAAGAAAGCTGATGTGCTGCGGGTGGGATAGTTCCCTGGGGCAGATCACAGAGGGCCTTATAGGCCACAGTAAGAACCTAAAGTCTATTCTGGTTGTGATGGGAAGAAAGCAGGGGGTTCAGATCACAGAACCAGTGTGATGGTCCTTTTTAAACCATCACACCGGCTGCCGTGTGGAGGATACATGTGGGGTGGGACGAAGTAGACTGAAAACTTCAACGGTACATGCCTGTAATCGAAGTAACGTTTCTGGATCTATTTCAGGATTTATTCAAAGACAAAGTAAGTTTACAATGAGGAGACTTTTACCTCATCTCCAGTCAAATTTAGGGGAAAATAAAGGGGAGCGGATTTAGAAAGCAAAAGGCACTGTTTAAATGAAAAGCTGATTACTAATTGTTCCACTGGGGGTTTCTGAGTCAGATGAATCAACAACTAGGTACAATTTGGTTTGCTGATTCTCTTGGCCCCAGATGGTAAAAGTTGTTTCACCAAAATAGAAATAAAAATTGGAAACTAGGATACATCAATTTTTTTTAAAAGGAAAATTGATACTACAGAAAATGTCTAAGGAGGACAACAGTTTATGGCTCTGATGGAAACACAGCTTGTGCAATTTAGAACCAATGCTTCAAAATCTGTGTCATTTTTCTGGAAGATTTCCTAAACGTGTGACACCACAGCCAAGGACTCTATAAGAGCTCACCTATGAATGGGATGGAAGCCAAGGAATCGCCAGGTGGACTGGTGCTCGAGGCCTTCCTCTCCTCCATTCTCTTCATGTGGACCTCTCGGCGAGCGTCATTAGGCAACCAGCAGGTCGTGTCCGACCCGGTCTCCTGGTCATTGACTGCCAGGATGTAGGACTGATGCCTTAAAGGCTGCGGGGTTTGGCGACCAGATGGAGGCTTTTCTCTGAGGATGACAGCTTCTTTATTATCTAAAGCATCTGCCTGTGGAATTTCAGCCTCATGTAAATTTAAATCTCGACTCTGTTGACTGACAGGTAATTCTAAATCTGAAGGGCCGGAATTCTCACTCATCTGAGGGGCAGGCTTTGCAGAAGGTCCAGATAAGGAGGGGGATTTCCTGGGCTCTCCCTGGTGATCGGGGGCACTTTCAGTTCTTAACCATGTCTGCTGATTCAACAGACTGTTTTGATGCAAGTGATTTACTGGTCTTTGGTCTTTGATAGGAACAAACGAGTTCTGGCTGAAGGATGGTTTCGTGACATGGGTAGAAGGCGCTTTCAAAGAGTTACTTCGGACTTTCACAAGAGGTGACCTGTCTTGTGAAACGCCCCGAGCCAGTGACATTCCACAAGGAGCCTGAAAATTTCTGTTTGACTGCAATGTTTTTAGATCTGGTGGGATTTTTTTAAACTGCGCCCCGGATCCCACTCCTCTACTACTCATTCGCCTGTTATCTGCATTAACAATGCTTGGGGCCACAGTAAAATTTGAACCTCGGAAGGATTTATGAATTTCTTGCTGTCTAGGTCTTTCATAAATACCTCTTCTATCATCCTGTTCAGTAAAGCCACTCCACTTGTAAGTCTGCTTTCGCTCTTCATTCAAATCCGGTATTTGACCCTCGGAACTGACGTTTTCTACGGTTTCCCCTTGCCCCTCAATGTAATCCCATGAACGAGTTCTATGATTACTAAAACTAACGGGTGGAGAGGTCAGTGCTCCTTGAGACGCACTTCGTGGGCAGTACTTCATTAGCACGGAATCCTCCAGTCTTTCCTGGGACACGCTGCGTTGCCGGATCTGAACCGACTGGGGCACTCGATCGTGAGAGGTGCTTCGACGTCGTACCTGCAGAGCAGTACGGTTGGGTACTACTTGGTTATAATCTGCCGTGCTCTGGGATGCTGCCCTTAAACTATCTAACCTTTCTTGAATCGTCCGGCAACCTATATGCAACCGTCTGTTATCAATATATTCTTTGTAAGTTTTATAGTTTTTCCAGTCTATGTGCTGATGGGAATTTGGAGAATAGTGATTAACAGATACGGAAGGTGAATCCACTGCTTGAGATCTACTGCTCGAGATTCCTTCTGAATGCCCACTGTAATTTCCAGATTTAAGTAAAATTCCAGAGGCCTCCAAAGATCTGGAGCCTGCAGTCTGATGAATTAGGTGGGCAGTTGGAATCGATGATGGTGGTGACATGGTTCTTGATACCGTTTTTAAAGAGGTCTGCTCATTTCTGCCATACCTCATTTCTTCAGTTCTATGTGAAGGACCTGTGTGGTTGTTTCTACTGGATAACAAATCTACCACCTTCTCAGAAGGCACAATGACAGTCCTTACGCTTTCATTGCAAACGCACACGGCTGTGTTTGATTTTGCAACATCGGTTGGTGATGGAGGCACTTGGATTTCCATTCTATAAGCCCTGCCAGGCTGCGAGAGGACTGGTGTACTGGTTTGCTGTTTGCTCGATGATGAGTCTGGGGGAGATATTTCGACTGGCTGGGACACGGTGGAAGGGGCTGGTGGCAGCCAGGGATAGCAAATTGGTGGAGGTTCAGGTATGTTGCGGGCATTGCCACTGTAGGCTTCGTTGCCTTTCAGGTAGGCATCTTGAGAATATGCCTATATGGAAATGAGAATAAATGTGTCATTTAAAATTCACAGAAAGAACAAAAATGTCTAATTTTGCAGTTCGGTAATTTGTTTTACTACACCCTACCTTGTTCCTGAATGGCATTCACTAGAGCATGCATGTAAACACAACACACGGTACTCCAAAAATCTAGAACTACTCTCTCAGAAATCAGATCCATTGCAGAACTGCAACAAATGTAATGGCCATCACTCATTTCCTTAAACGATGAGGAACACATCAAATTTCCCCCCAACCAACTAGATATAGCCATGTTGCTTCTAAAATTCTCCCCATTTTGGCTTTATGATTTTTCAGCACCTGACAGGTTAAATGGCTGCCTAACACTGAAAATCCAAGCAAAAGAAGATTCTTATCTTTTGCCTAAGAGGAGGTGAAAATGTTAGAAATCTTCACAAAGCACACTTCTAGTTTAAGCACTGCTGTTATCATAAAATTAAATGTAACCTATTGAAGTGTGTTGTCAATTAAACATTGCCAAGTCCCCTCAAATAACCCATTCTGAAAAATTAAGCCCTTCAATGGCCATGCTGAATATTTACTTATTAAAAATAAGAAAAAAATATGCATGTTTAGGAAATTAAAACACATTTATGAACGACATAAAAATAGGAAAGAAGGTCATTCTTCTCTTTGTATACAATTAGTTTTTTTAAGCTAATGTAAAATTATGTGGTATAAATTTATTCGGTCTTTTTTATTTATTATTTATTATAAGAAGACATTCTTTATTACTAACAGGCAAGCATGCAGGTCAAATTATTTTTAACAACTATTAGTCAAATGGCTGACCCATTTTTTAAAAAAACTTAAGAATAACGGAAATGAACTGCAAAGACTGTAAAACAGGGCTCATCAGTAGCACACAGGACTATGCTCAGCATCTGAGAGTTAGGTGTGGTGAACGATCTCCCCCTAATCAAAACAAGCTTAACTAAAGACTAGCATCACACCCTGTCTTTGCAGCAGACAGCTTGCAAAGCTCGAGTGCGGCCACAAACACAACATAACAGCCAAGAAAAAGGAGAGGGTGAGATACTTGAAAAAATACCGATGCAGACAAGTATTAAGCTTCAACATACCACTTATGTAAAGGGTACAAATGAAAACCAAACATGAAAAATTAAACGAAAGAAGAAAAAGCCATAAATCACAAACACATTCTGCAAATTAGTATGATTAACACGATAGAGGGATTTCTCTAAGCAAACTTAACAGTTTTAATAGACTTGACTTAATACAAATCTCTATAAAACATGGCTTTACAAAAGCAAGGAAATGGCTATGGTGCATTTCTTACCAGTGCTGTGACATCCTTTGTAAACTGTAGCTAGCAGAAAATAGGAAAACAGAGTAGAAGCTGCTTACTGACAGAAAGACAGAATCATGTTGTCATATTGATGCTGGAAACGGCAAGCTAAAAATACAGCTATACTGATTTCTCTGGAAGGTACCAAGAGAGGTAAAGGGCAGTGAAGCAGAAAGAATAACTTCAGTATCCTTCTGAGCACCTTTTTCTCAGGCTCTCCTCTGGTTCCTACTTGATTTGTCTACCAATCTTGAAAGCAAAATACATATGATGGCCCAAATTCCTAACAGCTATTTCCCTCGGTGCGCACTGCTGACACGCAACGAGCTACGAAGCTTCCCTTTCACACGAGCAACATTGATGTCTCTCATTTCCCCTGAGCTTCTTCCATCTCCGCTTCCAGATGACGAAACAAATGCTCTATTATGCATTTAAAATAGTACAACCTCCTTCTTCCCCGGTAAATCAGAGCATAACCACAAGCTGTCAGCTGACTGCAGCTGCCTTTACACCAGGATTGGGGGGTAAAAGGCTGTTCTATTAAAGAGGTTTCACACAAAAATGAAGAGCTTTCAACACAGTACACCTTTTACACTGTTTTATGAGTTTATGAAAATAACTATTGAATAGATAGTAAAAAAAAATACTACTTGCAGAGTAATTCTGCACTTCAAATGAACATTATAGGACATAACTAGAAAGCAGTGAGAAATAAAAGCCGAGTTCATAAAAGAAAACACGTACACAGTATTTTTATGGCATGAACTGCCGATCCGAACGTGTGTTTGAGAATGTGCACTGATAAATCAAGCCTATCTTTTTCATGCCCATCATATCCTCCATTGCTTCTCTGTGACAGGAAAACCGTGCCTGGGTAAGAGAATACTGTACTACCTGGCTGTCTTTCTCTCTCTGTGTGTGTGTGTCATTTTCATAGGTGCCACCAGCACAGGCGGGGGGTGGGGGGTGACATGACACAGGGAAAGTCAGATGGCAAGCTTCCTGACTTCTCAAAAGTGCCACATTAAAGTACATTATGAAATTTAAGGGGAAGTATTTTTTGCCATGGAACCCACTTTCTTTTCCCAGACATTTTAACAAGATTAGACTATCTGCTTGGGGAATGTTTCAGAACTAATACATTAAAGACATCCTTGTTATTTAAACTTGGGAAAGAAAACTATCTTTTAGAAGTAAATGACTAGAACTATTCGACACCTAAAAAAATATTTTACATACTACAGATATCTCTAAAATTCCTATCTAGCAGTTCAAAGCACTAAAATCGTTTAGTCATGGGCTCCCGCTTCTGGGTAAAGTTATGGCAAGGCGTCCTTAGATCCAAACGCATGGGCGAGCAGTAACAGTAAGTGGACTGACAAAACAGAGCATCTCACACGTGTAGGGCCACTGACTCACATATGCACTGCTGAATCCCCTCACATGTTCTCTAGTTTATAAACAGCAAATAAAAAGTATGCATATCTATTTATCTGTCTTCTCTTTTATCTATTCACTTACTTTTTTTTTGAGAGGGAGATTTTTGCTATAGGGTGTGTGTGCTCGCGAGAGAGACGGAGAGACAGAAGGTGAGAAATCTCCCCCCCAGGGGGGATGGCCATACCGCAATCTCTTCTCCTCCTTTTTTCTCTCGGGTTCTTGGGCACGCACGCACATGTGCCTGGTGTGAGTTTAAGCCACCGGGTCCGGGATGCAAACTGCGGTGGACTACGTGGGAGTTCAGCGGCATAGCCATTACGCTAACTGCTGGTCCCTATTCACTTAATTATTTAAAGATTTCCTCATTCTCACAGAATTTGGGAATCAAACCATTCTAAATTATCGTCCATGGGGAAGTAACTGCCTGGAAGGGCACTGTGGTTTCTTTAGCATGTATTTCTATGGCAGGTCACAGACATACAATAATACTGGGATGTCTATGGCTGTTCTGAGGTAGAAGCCCTGTACACAGGATTAGAACCCTTATGAAAGAGACCACAGAGAGCTGTCCTTGCCCTTCCACAAAATGAAGACATAGCCAGAGGCACCGTCTATAAGGACATGGGCCCTTGCCAGACCCTGAATCTGTCTTAGCCTTGACCTTAGATTTCCCAGCCTCCAGAAACATGAGAAATAAAGGCCTGTTGTTTGCAAGCTGCCCAGGCTGGGGTATTTCCTATACCAGCCAGAATGGTAAGACAGCGCCACCCTTTAGCACCACTGATGTGACTGCTCTACCACACACAGACAACACACTTGTTAGGGAAACAAAGCAATTTTTTTTTTAATTTAACAAAATGCCTTAGAAATATGAACCTAAGGTATACAATCTTATAACAAGATAGTATCAAAATGACTAAAACAAATATAATACTATTCATATGTTAATCTAGAAAATACCTGTTAGTTTAACAGCGCAAGGCTGCCAAGCACAGGAGTACTGTGACCAGCATTGTGTAAAGACATAACGAATCGTTTTCAGTGTTATGTCATGCTTCTCACCAGGTATCGCTGTTACTCATAAATTATGAACTATATCATTGTATGCCTGTCCTTATGTGAGTCAAGTGTTTTTTTTTTTTATTAAAG